CCCGCGGGGGCCAGGGCGGAGGGGCGGGAGCCGCGCCCGCCCCAGCCCGGGCCGCCCCAGAAGGCCACCAAGCCCAAGAAAGCTCCCAAGAGAGACAAGCTGGCTCTGGAGCCGCCGCCGCCAGGTAAGTGACTTTCTGCGCTGGACGGCCCTGCGCCTCTCCCAGGGGGAGCCCGTTGGGTCTGAGGGGACCGCTGGCTTCCCTGCGCGTGTGTCTGGGATGAGGGAGCCCCCGCAAGCCTCCCCGTCCCTGCCCCGCACCCTGTTCCTCCGCCTCGCTCCAGAGATTGCACTGCGCGCCCTGCTGGCCCCTTCGAGCTCCCCAGGACTTAAACTTGACCGGCCTCCCGCTCAGGTAGAGACAGCTGTGCAGTTGAGAAGCCGCCTGGGGAGCTGGTCCCTCGTGCCCCAGCTTCGAAATTTACTGAGCCAGGGATCTTTCTGCTGGATACTTCCTTCTGGGCCGACGGGGCGTTTTCCTGCGTGAATTTCTGATTTGACCATGTGAACAGGCTGGTACTTTTTGGCACAATGGTCTTCAGGGGAAAGCTCATTACTGGGCCTTTGCCCGGCCAGTGTCCCCTCTCTGCTCCCTCCTCACCTCCCACTTTCCATGGGATCCTTGACTCCTCTGCCCAGTTGGGGCGGGATGGCAGGGCGTCTGCTGGGGAGCCTTGGGCTGCAGCTGGATCCTGGTGCCCCCTGTGGAAAGGCCAGCTGCATCTGACAGCCCGGGGTGCTGTGTGTCCATCCACCTCTCACACCCTGCTAGAATCCACCTCCAGCTTCCACCAGCCCGGTCTCGGGGAAAGGACTTCCATTTGGCTTCTTACACTCCTTGTGAAGGGGGACTTTGTCTTACTTGTTCCGAATGTTCTTTGCTCACGTTGCAAAGGCTGCGGTCCTAATATTTCAAGATTGAGGAGTGAGCGGGGCTGCGGCCAAGTGCTCTGGCCTCGTAGTGGCCTTCCTGAAGGAGACCAATGGTGGTGGCACCTTCCACAGCTTCTGGCAGGGAAAGAATCGCCGTTGTCTGGTTAGGCCGCCGGCGAAGGTCTGCAGTGAGGCAGTGGGAAGGGAGTGGAGACGGGTCCCCCGAACTCTTGAATGTGTGGACCCCCGTCTGCAGCCCCAGTCCGCAGCCCCTGTACATGAACTTGGGGGCCCCTGTGCACGAACTTGGGGGCGTGCTGCCAGGTTTCAGTTGGAGGCAGCCCTGGGAATCAGCGGGCTGTTCTGTGAGCCGTGTAACCCTGAACCTAACCATCCAGAATTTCCAATATTTTCTGCAGAATTATCAAAATTAAGATTTGGAAAAGCCACAGTGGAGTGAGAGTGGGAAGAGGCACTTATATTCGTGGAACGTCTAGTGTGACTCCATTAAGAGCTGTATGCACAGCTCACATTTAATTCTTTCAGTGACTCAGAGGTGGGGGGCAGTATTCTTGTTATTTTATACATAGGAACCTGACGGTTTCGTAACTTTCTTGTCACTTGCTGGCTTGAGAGACTGGAAAGCCCTTCTCCCGTGCCTTTCAACTCAAGGCCTTTTTTGTTTGTTTGTTTGGTAGTTTGAGCCAAATTTGCATGTGTCTGTTTTTTAGTGTCTGCTCTGTGTTTAGCACAGGACTGGGCAAGGGTGGGTAGGTGGGCAGGAGACACACATGTTAGGTTCTGGCATTTATGGGGGAGGGGAGGTGCAGGGGGAGTGTGGAACAAGCCCGGGACGGAGTCTGAAGACCACACTTAACCCCCAGGTCTGGGGCTCAGCACTCAGCCTGCTGGACCTCTCAGCCTTTTCATCTGCAAATACAAGCCAGGCGCCTGCTGCCTCATCTTGCCAGTTGTCCTGGGAGCTTCGCCACAGAAGCTTCCAGTGCATTAACGCATGGCTGTGCTCGTCCTCTGTGAAGCGTTCATTCATCCTGCAGGTCATCACGGAGAGCCTGCTCTATGCCGGGTGTGGGTCAGGTCCTAGGGGTAGAAGAGGAAGGCAACCTCCTCACCCCCACCCCCCCCGCCCTCATGAAACAGCACTGGGGGGACTTGGAAAGTAACGCAGGTGTGCTGAGGGCTGGAGCACTGATCCCCAAACTGAAAACAGGTCCTTGGACGCTCCAGATCTATCTTGGAGACTCGCCTCCAGGCCTGCCTCGTTTCTAATGGATCGTTTGGGGCTTTTTAGAGCACCCCCAACTATGACAAGCAAAGTGGAACATTTCTCACATACTTTTGACTCCTATCCTTTTTTTGGGGGGTGGGAGAAGAGGGCATTTGGCCAGTGGAGTCCTCCACCTTGGACCCCCAAGTTGGGGAGGCCGATTTAAGCATGACCATATTGGGGGCGTGCATGATAGTTTTGTGCAGTTAACCTATTAAGAGACATTGTTTTTTCCCACTTTAAGTGGTGGCTTGATATATGTCCTGCTCCTGATTTAATAGAAGCATTCATCTCTGCACCGGACCGTTTCATAAGCAGGTGTCATAATATGTTAGGAAGGCATTTATTTATAGAGAAAGAGGAAGCATTGGGCGTGTGTTCGCTATTTAATGGGAGCTTCAGGACTCCGCTTTGCTGAGTGTACGGTGCATGCCACGTACCAGGCACTGTCTAGGCACTGAGATGGGAGTGAAGGGTTAGATTCAGAGACGAATAAGAATGGAAAAGCGTATGTAACTCCTTTAAAAGTCTATCATGTCCTCTGTCTTTGCAGAGGATAAAGTATTTTCCATACAGTCCCTGTCGTGGGGCAAATGCTCTGTGTTAGGCTCCAGCAGAGAGCGTATTTTCATCTCGTGGGAAGGTCGACTTAGGGAGCCGGGGGCACTGGGATTCGACTGCCACGTGAGTTTCGGCTTTGCCCCTTGGCTGCTGTCTCACACCACCACAGAAATGTGCAGTGGACCTCGTGGGCTCGGACGGCCGCGGGTGGCTTGGATGGCCGAATCCTGCGGTTAATTGAGAGCATCACACAAACAGTACATGATGTCCTGTGTGCCCTTCCCCCAGCCTCCCCAACGATAACGTCTTCGAGATCTACAGTGCAGGATTTCTCAACCTTGGCTGTACTGACATTTTGGGGTGTGTGTATGTGTGTGTGTGTGTGTGTGTGTGCT